ACCCCCCCCCCCCCCCGCCCTAACTGGGTGCAGACTAGAAAGACGAAAGAGGCCAGAGACACACACAAGGAGAAGGCTGAGTGAGGAGGCTGTTTTGGATGTAGGCCGTTCCGTTATAGGCAGCAGAGCATATCCTTTTGTAAGAAGGAAAAAAAAGAACTCAGTCACAATTTTCAGGGGAGCACTCATCGCATCTAGAACAAGCACGAGCTAATCTCGCAGAACGTACCAATCTCACGTCTTCACTCGACCGTTTTTCATCCTTCGAAACGAGACTGGAAAAAAATTAAGTCTAAGGGGAATGATCAAAAGCTTGCAAGGGCGTCATGGCGACACCATACACTGCGGAAGTTTCACTAGCGCGTGCTTGCAAGACGTTTTCGGCGCAGCATCGGGTCGATCCAACACGCGTGCGGCAATTCTTTCACACAGCTGCTGCCGAAAATTGGGGTTGTTATCAGAAGCGGCCCCGCAGGAACAACATCCGTGTTGCACCCCGGAAACGGGAGGGGCAAAGGACGAAATGTTCACGTTCCTCTTGCTCATGAAAAGTCCCGGTGGGATAATCACACGACGGTGATGCGCGAAGGAATGTTGATGTGTTCGAACGGGAGTCTGGCCATGCACGTTGATGTGCTCTTGGCACGGTTGCTCTCTCTCCCATGAAACTGTGCCAAGAGCACCCAATACGTGCATAGCCAGACTCCCGTTCGAACACCAAACATTCCTTCGGGCATCACCATCTGGTGATCGTCGCCACGAGACGTCTGCAGGTAAAACCTACCGGTCGGATCTAAACATCGGGAACATCCGCCGTAGTTCTTCTCAAAAGAACTTTTTTTCGTTTCAAAAACTAACATGCCGAGGAAAATCAACAACCAAAAACATTATGTTTCCGACAATGTGAATTTGATCCGGAACACTATGGGGGGAAAGGGTGGGAGGTTGACGGTATGCCATATTTCGCGGAAATGGGGTCGGTTTTGTGCGCGTGCGATCAGTGCCTTGGCCTTTCGCAGAGACGACTTTCTTTCGCGTCTTGCAAACGCTGCTCATTTCACGGAATAAATTTATCTCGAGATGAACCGCGACCAGATGCACCTTGCGTGAGCGGCTTTGAACAGCCATGGCTTCGGGGTATCATGTGCCCGACCTTCGTTTGGGTATGTCCATCGGACGGAGCGACCAATACTTCCAGACAAGAAAACAGAGGTGGAAATACCAGCGGGAAGTACCAACGACCATCGAGTTGCAAAGGTCACCCTAACATAACCGTATGAAACGCTGGGCCGGACCAACATCCACAGACACACTATCCGACATGGGCTGACCGCAGCACGCAGGGCGAGCCCGGCCAATGTCCAGATTTCGACGGAACGGCGATATATTTTGTTTGTGCCTCTTCGAGACCCGAGCGAGTTACGATATTTGAAGTGTTAGCTAGCCACGGGTTGCTCGGAAGAGATCAAAATGTCGTATTCCCAATGGTCTGTACATCCGAGGCAGTGTGTGATCCACTTGACGTGACAAGCCGGATTAATATGTGTTCCAGCAACGAGCATGATGTTTGCATCGCGGTAGATATTTAAAGAGAAACCACAACAAAAAAGGTAAAACAGCTTCACTCATCACTTCATCACTCAAAAGGCTCACGACCAGGAACAGGTTGAACGTCCCAGCACCCACCCCTTATACCTTCTTCACACGGCAACTGGGACGGTGAATTGTTGGGGGTGGGATCAGGGTTTGTGTGCCGTACATGTAACAAGAGACTACCGCCACCCACCCACTGACGGGAACGAATATCCAAGCTCGACAGTCCCCACAGGAAGGGAGGGCGGCGCAAAACACGAAGGAGTATCCTCTGCAAAAATCTTGACGAGGGAAACATTCGTGGAATGCTCACTCAGGATCGAGATTTTTTCGAAGATGTGCTTTCGCGTAATGACACTTACCCCCACTTTCGGTTTGTGCAATCGACTCTGGATACTCATCCGCGTGAGGTGAAGCGGGGGGGTCTCTTGCGGGGATGTACGGTACGGTAACACTGTTCCATGACCGGGGACTGCGTCGCCGCACACTGACCACGCCTTCTCTCTCCTGCCCTTCAACCCTCCACCCCTCTCACCGTTGGGATTGTGTACCGCAGAAGCTCGTTGTTAGAGCGTATCGTCACCGTTGTTATCTCAACAAAGGGGAGGGTGCGTTTGGCAAAGAAAAACCATGCTGTTGACGAAAGCATCTCCTTGACAAGAACACCCTCCTCCTTACTATGAAATATCGATTTAGACGATAAGGACAACCGCAAAAAACCGAGAGCTTCCAGGGTATACCTCCTACCAGCCCCCCCTCTTTGAGCTAATCAAAAGAGAGGTGGGGTGGGCGGCGAGTGGAGTTGGGAGAGGTGCGGTCGGAGACAGAAAGCGTGCGTGCCTTAGGTCCCAAGACTTACCGGGTGGGCATGATGTGGTTGACGTTGACGTATTTGACGAACGGCTTCAGCTTCGTGCGCTTCTTGATCTTGTCCTTGCTCATCGCCTTCGTCACCTGTTTTTACGTTACGATTCCGGTCGTAGGCGTAGGCAAGAGATAAAACGAGTAGAGAACATTACACACGCTCGCTCCACTCTATCAACGGAAAACCAGCAGGACACGGCAGGGTGAAAAATGAAAAAAGAGCGAGGCTCCTCGGAATGTCGGCTGTGGGGGTCGAGGATCGGAGACTGCAAGGCAATATTTAATAAGGTTTCCGTCGATGCCTTTTCGCCCAACGTCAGGGCAGGGCGTTACACGTCTCCTTGCTGTACGATTCACCGCTATTCGTATGTAAGAAGGGCATCAACAGCTGAGGAAGCCGGGAACACGGGCACCCTTGATCACCTGGGTGCTTTGCAACGTGCGCGGTATTTTCGTATTTGTCGTACACCGCGTGTTGGATGATATTGAGATGCAACACCGTTGGGTTTCCGTATCTATTATATCACTGATATTCGCACGTCGACATCCAGCACGATAGAAGGTGCTAAACAAGGAGGGTAAGTCATATTAGCAACACGAAACCGTGCCCATAGCCTTCGAGCCTCTCCATCAGACAATTTGAGCGGCTCTCATTTTCGCTAGAATACTACAAAAGTGAATCTCTGCAGCTGTGAATGGAAGCATGGACTGCTCCTGTGTCCATTTGTAACATACAAGGGATGTGGTGTTTTCCGTACGAATAGGGGGTGTAGTGTTTGCCGTACGATTATTGAGCACCGGGTGCTGCGTGCAGTGTCTCAACAGGTTTCGTTTCTTGCTTCAGCGCTGCACCACCAAAGCTAGAGTAGTAGAAGGGCATCGATTGCCAAGTGCTGCTACCCCGTCTTCTACGGGCGCGACATAGTCGTCCGTTGGAGAGTGCTACTCAAGAGCAGCTGCAGCGGTTTGCATGCCACCCGATGTTCTCCAGATTTTTCTTGTGTTTCTTACCCTGCGAGGGTAGCGGTCGATGCCAGCCACGATGGCGTGGCCGAACTTGCGGTTCTCGGAGCCCTCGTCGAAAGGCTTTACCACGATAGCCTTGCGGCCAGCGTAGCGCCCGGCCAGCAGGACAACGACCTTGCCTGACTTGATGCTGTTCGCCGTGAGCAGGCAAGTGGTTCGTGTGTGGGCAGGAAGGAGAGAGAGGGAAATTGTCAGGTTGAGAATTGAGCGCAAGAGAAAGGCACCAAGAAATCCTTGCACATACAGAATCTACCGGAACCGTAGACTGCTGTGCTATTGGTGAAGCCACGCCAGCGCAAGTAAAACAGGGGGCAGCGTTTCCAGGCGAGCCACGAGGCCGCACGGGGAGACACGAGAGGGCGGGCATCCACAACGCAACCGTTTTTAAACACAACATCACGTTCGAACAGCCACCACAGTCGACGCAATGGAGCGGGGGAGACAACTAAGGGATCATTCACCGAAGCAAGCCACCCCGTACACTCACATCCCCATGATGGCTTCGAACCAGGCGAGACACACAGGAAAGTGGACCAGGCGCAAGCCCACAGCCATAGAGGCGAGAGTTTTTTTTTTTCATGTGTTCATCACGCCGCATATGTACCCCCCCTGTTGCACATTCGAACCTATCTGCCGATCCCCCTGCTCGGAATCGCAACAGCATTGCTGCAGCAGAGCGCTGCTTTTGCTTAAGTAACGCTGTACGCGTAGGAAAAGCAGGCACCATGTCCGCCCAACAGGTGGCGCCGACGCGCATGGCGCTCCAGATGTACAAGGGAAAGCTTCTGGGCGCGAAGAAGGGCTACGAGCTTCTCAAGAAGAAGTCCGATGCGCTAAAGGTGAGTTCCGACCGAGCGAGTACCTCTGCCCGTCTGTTGCACTCCCTTCAGCGCATCGGCAGTATCACGTAGGACGAGGGTGATAGAGCTGAGGAGACATGTGCTGGCTTGGTAGGTTCGTACCTTCCGTTGAGACGACCAATGTGTTGGCTGTGACCCCTTCCCAGAATGAGATTGGTTCCGCACACAGCTGAGTTCTCTTGAAAGGAGGTGGTACTGGGTATTCAGTTCGATCTCGGTTTGATGCGGAGAGCTCTATGTAGCACGCAGGGGGCGTTGTTCATGGTACTTGATGACCCCACGCTCTGCTTTGGTTGTCTCACCCGATCAGACGGAAAACTGAAGCCGCGCGCATGAATGTCGTCGTTGCTGTCTGTCTCTGTGTAAAACTTGTGTTGCTCCCCCCAAATCGGCCAGGCCCGATTCCGCAAAATTGCCAAACAAATCCACGAGCTGAAGCAGGTGATGCGTGAAGACGCCGCCACCGCGTTCTTTTCGCTCACCCAAGCGGCGCAGTATGTCGCAGGAGACTTCCGTGGGAAGGTACGGGGTTTGTCGCCACGCGCTTGTGATATCTACCCCGATGCGACGGCGTACTTTGCTTGACGGGTGCCATTGCACGTTGTAGCTGACTTGGTGGACGATGTAGTCCTGCAACAGCGGCTGACCTGCGGAACTGGTACCAGCAGTACTGCCGTAGGCCAGGCGGTGTTAATCGCGTAGAAGGCAAAAGAGGGGGCGGTAAGAGCTTTCAGCGACTGGTAGTTACGTAATTCAAGTGTTCGGCGAAAGGGGGCCTGGGGATTGGTACTACCCCTTGAGTACAGCCAAAGCTGCCTCGGGATCCATCAGTTGACGACACGTATGTCGCCTGTTTTCGGGTCGGGTCACTTACATCTCGAATTTTGTCGAAACGAGGTGTACTGCAGAGTAGGCTTGACACGAGAGCATCTCTGTGCGTACCTTCTGCTGCATGCGGATGCCTCGTCGGGTTGAAATATCCGTGATTGCCCCATGACTTTCAACACAACACCTCGCCTGACCATCCATCCCAGGCAACTCAAGTTGATAGCATGTCCATGGACGTATTACTATCAAGTCTCACGGTAGCAAATGACAAGCAGCCGTGCATCCTGCACGCTTCCACCGCGTGAATTCCTCCCCCCTCTGCAACATGTGGGATATTAACCGTCGCTGTTGCATATGCGTGTGCGTCTCGTGCTGCTGCTGCTGATGGTGCTGCTTCCTTGGCGGTGGCTCTCCTCGGGGATGGCTCAACGGATAGGTGCTGGACACTCCACGGCCAGCGGCCGTGCGGTGCAGGGCTAGGACAGACAACGTAGCGGGCGTCAAGCTTCCGGTGTTCGAGTCGTACGAGACCGGGTCGGAGGTTCGTGTGGTCTCGGTTTGTTGCTGCACGCATGATGTTCTAGCCTCCTTGCTTGTTTGATACAGTACTACTGTTGTACTTGTAGAATCTGAGGCTCCCTCGTCGAGGTTTCAGGTGCACTCAAGACCACGCTATCGTTGAGTGCCATCGAAGCGGCTAAGGTTCTAACGATTACTTCTTGCTCGTTGATCCAGTTAGACGAAGATGGTGTATCCTCATCGGCTCTGCGATCTTTCCTCACGCCCCACGCCCCCCGTGCGCGCCAACAATCTATTGCATTCTCTTCTTTGTTTTTTTGTCTTTTTTGTTGCGGACACGGCTTCGGACTGCATCCGTGAACACCGCACCAGGCCAAGGATAACATCGGTCTAGCCGGGGGTGGGCAGAAAGTGGGACAGTGCCGCGACAAGTACAAGGCCTGGGTCGAGAACCTTATCAAGCTGGCGTCCCTGCAGACGTCGTTTGTCACCATGGACGAGGCGCTCAAGGTGCGGTTCACCTGGAACTGTACGATTTTTATGGGTTCTGGGTTATGATCTGGTTTGCCGTGTTTGATGTGTTGACCGCGGTGTTTCGTCGGTGTTTACGGTAGTGGTGCTTAGCTTTTTCACGTTCTGGTGACTCCCTTTGCATCCTTCGGTTTTCCATCGCTCGGCTAAGCTGTGTTCTGGGGCCAGCGCTTCGCTTCTTTTTGATAGTTTCACAAGGAAAACACGAACGGGCTTGCAGTACCGACATGGCAGGTCTTACGCTGAAATAGAAGGAAGCATATGCTCGGTTTGTTTTACTTGCCCGAGGAGATTGTTGTGCGTTTTTCGGAGAGAAGGAATAGTGCGCTGGGCTGTTCCACCTGTCCTTGCACTCGCGTAGGTCGGACGTCGGAGGACGGGAACCCCCATGCCTGAGTCGTGTTGTGGTTGGTTGTGCGCTCTACGGAGATCCAAGGTCTGCTTGCTCTAGCAGCAGATCGGTCGGGCGCTGTCTGTCGTGCCCCCCGCCGGTGTATTTCTTTCTCTTTGGTCATTGATCCCTGCTTCTCCCCCAAATGGTGGCAGGTAACGAACCGCCGCGTTAACGCGCTGGAAAACGTGACGATCCCGCGAATGGAGGGAGTAATCAGCTACATCAACAGGGAGCTGGACGAGCTAGAGAGGTAACGCCAGCAATATTTGTGCGTTGATTGCTTGATGCTGCGTGTGGGGACAGCAGTACAGAAACGCATGCATCGGTGGTTGTTGTTGATAAAGGTTCGTCATGTCTTTTGCCCGCTCGACAACAACGGTCTGTAGTGTCTGTTGCTCGCACAACCCAATCGCGTTGCGATAACCCTCGACTAGTAGAATGTTTGATAGTGTCGATGCTAGGGCTTCTCGACCCTGTAGTCCACTTGGGTAGCGCAGAGAGCAAGACGCTACATCATTGGGCCGCGCATCGTGCATTTTCCCGCTCGTGGCGTGCCGAGGGTAGGGTAGGGCATGCCTCTGCCCGTGATGACGCGGTCCTTGGTGCGGAAAATCGAGCGAAGACTGCTTGCGTCTATCGTTTCTGTACCGCACGTATCCACCATCTTCTGCCGATCGTGTACTCCCGTCACATGCGTTAACCAGGTTGGATTGGACGGAATTATTCCTGTCTGTATCACAACCAGCACATGACGACGTTCGGCGTCAGTTATGGTCACCTTTGATGTTGAAACTGATTGTTCTTGTATGGAAAGAGTCAAGCGTACTTAGACCTGCTTGACGTAGCCCACCACCACCGTTTCCTCTGCCCGGTAACGTCGTGCCTTTCCTTGATAGACTTTCGCGCGTAATCTTTTTCGGCGACAATATTCCCAGGGAGGACTTCACTCGGCTGAAGAAGGTGGTGGAGAAGAAGCGCGAGGCGGCAGCTAGGGAGCAGGCACTCAAGAACGAGTTGGCGGCGGCGAACAAGCTTCTCGAGACGGACGAAGCGCTCGCCGCCTCTGCCGCCGTCAGCGGGGGAGACGACACGATGTTAGACGAGTTCGACACGCAAGAGCAGGGGGACGTCTACTTCTGACGTTGTTTTCTTCCTTGACTTGTATTGAGCGCGAGGCAGACCCAAGGAGTCGTTTTTTTCGTGTGTTGGCTGCGTGTAGCTCGCATCCGTAACGCCGTCGGCGCGTCCTCTCATCGGTAGTGTTCGATAGGTTTCATTTCTTGGGAGTAGTTGATGCTGACTATTTTGCACTTCTGATGCTCTTTTCATGTATGTAGTGCTAAGCAAGTAGCTTCACGCGGATATTTGGTATGCAGGCGTTGAGAGTTGTTTTTTGGGGGGGCAGATATCGCAGCTCGGATAGCCAGGGATGACCGTGGTAATTTACGTGCGAACCCATTTGAAAGCTTTTCCCCCGATTTTGATGAACAAGGCAAAGTCTCCATTCAACCATGTTTGCGTGTACATGTATTGACGGTGATACGGAAAATCAACCCTGTGGGTCGCACTGTGCGACGACCCGGACTGTCATGGATGGATTTGCTGACGCTTATGACTACTCCATTTTGGGATGCCCCATTTGATGATAGTATTGGCTACTGCTGTTGTTCCGCTCGATGGCACCATCCGGTCCCACGTTAATATTGCCGCGTTCGACAGTGGATGCATGATGGTACGCTCTGGGAGCGGTGGAGAATATTTCCCAACCGCTTTACCACCGGTAAACCAGGCTTTTCCCACGCTGCTTCTGTTTCGCGATTTGAGCAATTTCGTGCTCTTTTCGTGCCAGGAGCACCTGCTTTCAGAGCATACGGGTCATGCTGTTGGGCACATTTTGCATGGGGAACCCTTGCAACTATAACTACGGTTGACCGCGGTGTCACTCCGAGTTGTTCATGGCAAACAAGCATCCAAGTCTGAACATAAAATTCTGCATCGGGCGCGGAGAGGCACTGTGTCGCCCAAGGCAGTGACGAAAGCATTGCGTCCATTCATTGGTGACTGTAGTCGAGGTGCATCTCCCCAGAGCTGAATACGGGCATCCAAACCGGCCACACCGCTTGCCGTGAGTGCCACCCCACAGCAGAAGAGCTTCCCTTTAGGGCGGGCGGCCAGGAGATTCCCGATGATAAGTTTCTCTTATGCTAATGCCGGCACCGTTGTGTGTCGATCTATTAGCAAACGTATGCCTGACCTCTACCAAGAATCTCCACATTTACTCCGACGCAAACACGCAAAAGCGGCATTTCCGAGAGCAGGCCACCAACGGAGGCCAAACACTACTGGCAATACACCAGAGATTGATCTGCTCGCCAACTCACGCAACTCACGCATTAGCATAGCGAACAGAAGATGGCAAGATATGCCAAGCTGCTCTAAACGTGCACATCCTTCCGTACCATTACGGGGAAGGACACACTTTTTCACCCTACGCGGCTGCAGAGGTTCGTGTCTATGCAACAGGTGAAATATAAAACACGATAACTTTGGCGGTGAATCCGACATGGTTTCAACGGCACGGGTGCCTTCACCTGTTCCTCATCGACGAAACCAGAACAGGAAAGGCAAGGTACTCCATGCCGAAGACACGACCTCTGCAAACACCAACAACAACAGAACCGTGCCCGTTATACGAACCGCAACCCAGGCTTCTCTTGTGACAAATCTATGTAAAGCTTCTTTAGCCAAGCGAGACACCCAGCTCAACTTCGCGCGAACCGAACCTACAGCATACATTACGCCTTTGAAATATATGTAAATCGTTGATGGAATGTATCCAAACCTAGCATTCCAACGTGGTCACATGGTAAGACTTGCCATGCTGCAGAAGGAGGTACACCACTGCATTCCGCGCTAAGAAATACAGCGAGATTCACCTAGGGGACCATCCACAAATGCCTCAAAGCACAATCACAACCGCTGGAAGCTGGTGGTTGTCGGAATAGTAAAAAATACATGAGTGAAAAGCCTGCCAAACTTACGGGGCGTGTAGAGCTTAAGCCGCTAGCTTGTATTCACAAAAACCTTAAGATAGAGCGAAACACGGCTTCCGGCTCCAGTTCCGTCGGCAACTCCACCACACCGCTCGAGCTCTCTGCAACGTCTTTTCTGGCCCCCTTGCCATTGCTTCTTCCTTGACACAGAGACAAGCCGCTATCCGACGCTCCCCTAGCGCATCTGTGGGCAACAACGATGGTGCGCGATCGGAGAACCACCAGCCAGCCCTGGCGACGCCACCGCCTGTCCGCTGGGGCCCGAACCAGTAGCAGCCAAGCGCGGTCCACCTCGTCGGGCGAGCAATGAGGGTTGTCGGTTCGGGTCGCACCGACAACGTCGAGGGGGGTACGCCCACGTTTGTTCCGCACGGTCTCGCTCCCCATCTCAACAGCAGATCTGTGGAAGCCGCCAGGCCTTCCCGCTGATGAGCACAAGCCCAATGCAACGGTGTTTCTCAGGTGGCGTCGAATCGGTTCCTGACGGAAGCGTTGTTCTGCAACAGGGCCGCCATGCAGTTTACCCGGTGGTGTACCGCGGCGGCATGAAGAGGTGTCCAGCCACCGCCATTCTTGAGCTCGGTGTTTGCCCCGGCTTCGATTAGCATGTGAACCGCAGGTCCCGCCCGGTCGCTAAAAAGAACAGCTGTGTGCAAGGCAGTGCAACCTGCACGGTCTTGGGCATCCACGTCAACTCCTCGCCCCAGGATGGCTTCGAGGATAGGGAGTGCCCTGTGCTCAGCCGCCACGTCAAGCGGCGAATAGTCCGCCCATTGGCGAAGGCTGCAGTCAGCCCCGGCCTCCAACAGCGTCTCTACGATTGCTAGATGGCCCCGTCTCACAGCAAGCATGAACGTTGTCACGTACGTCGTCTTGCCAAGGCCTACATTTACGTCTGCCTTCGCCAGAAGAAGAGATGAGACGACGCCCTCTTCTGCAACAGAGCCGCCGCTTGGCGAGGGGCCATACCGCAATCGTCTCGGATGTTTGGGCGGGCCCCACCTATCGGCAGGTCATTGACGAGCTGTGTGTGACTGCCTTGGATGGCCTGGCTCAGAACACTGCACTTTGCCACGGGGTCCCGAAAGTTGACGTCTGCTCCAGTGAGGACCAACCGTTTCGCAGCAGCTTCATGACCACAACACGTCGCGGTATGCAGCGCCGATCTCCGGGACGAGACCGTCACCTTGTTTACATCCGCCCCTGCCCCTCCTCGAATCAAGGCAGACATGACGTCAGCATTCCCACCGAGGGCAGCGGCATCGAGCAGGGTACGGCCGCGGCAGCCCCGCCATCCCGCACCGGCGTCCGCACCTGCTTGGAGCAGCCTCTCTACGAGGTTCGGATTGCCGCGGGAAGCGGCGTGTTCCAGCGGCACCCTGAGCCATTCTGCCCACTGCTCGCGCGAGGCCCCGTAGGACACAAGCTTGAAGACTTCGCTCCCCAGCCCGTCCAGGGATGTACGCTCGGGGAATATGTGCATCCTCACGAAGCGCCACGACTCGCTTTATTTGTTCAAGAACGGGGAGAAGACGGGTTGCGTGTGTTGTGTGCAGGAAGGAGACTCTCCGGCGGCAGCGAAGCAAGGACACCCACGGAGCTAGTGCCAAGCAAAATCCTGCGCCTTTACCTCGGACTTTTGTGGCACGGGTTCGTGTGTGTTGTGTTGGGCGCCCTTGGTGGATTGGTGCGGGCTGTGATGCGAGCTTGTGTCGTACTTCGGTACTGCTGTACAGCATCATGGTACCGCGGTACGGGGAGCTACCTGCGGGGAGCTAGGGCGGGACCCCGCGGTTGCGGGTAAGATGTAGGTGTGGCTGTGGTTTGGCGGAACTCCCCAGACGCACTCTGACAGTCCCGAGTAAAGTGGTCATGTTACGGAGCCGTTTTTGCTTGTGCCTTGCCGTTCCATGCCCTCTTTCTCTCCCGCCCTCTCTAGATGCTTGTGAGCATGACTCAGCCAGTGTACAACTGGCTCGGCACTGGAGTTCTTGCATTCTCCTCGCCCCGCCGCACATTGGCCGAAGGACACAGTGGCACTTCCTGTCCGACGACATGTTCCTCCATGCTGCGCGCTTCCAACTTCTCCCCGTCGCTGCCGGCGGGGTACAGCAGGGGCGTTCGGAAGCGGTGCGCCATCGCTGCCTTCATCACCGCCAACGAAATGACGACGATGGGGCACAAGAAGGGTGGTGTTTTCTGCCTGAGGGGTGGGAGTGACGAGGGAGATACTCTGCAAGTCGGCGGGGAAGAAGAGAACGTGAAGCGGGAAACTCCAACTGCCACCAGGGCCAAGGCCGCCGACAGCGAGGACGAGGCCTGGCCAGGGGCACAGAAGGAAGGAGCACCCTTTGGCGGGGTTGCTCTCGTCACCGAGCGCTCAACGGCAACAGGCGGGAGCAAGGATAGGGTCAGCTACAGCGTCCTTGCCGACGGGACCCTCGAAGTTGGTTTGGCTGCTGAGCGAAAAGAGCCGGTGCGAAAAACAGGTTCACGTTTCACCTCGTTGACCTCTACCTAGCCTACATATGTAGCTATAGTACGTAGTGGTCGTCGATTGGTTTGGACGACACAGCAGATCAGCGTTGGAGGGGGGAATAATATGATACCTGGTTTGCGCATGACTGCCGTTGCTTTGACTGGTTTCACTAGCCTACCCGATAATACTAGTGTGTTGTTCGCCAAGGCTCTGCGCCGATGGGGTCGATGTGACGGCAGCGAAGGCGCGATAGTCCACAGCTTTGGCACCGGTATCGAGAATAGTGGCCTTAGTGCTGTCACCGTTCTTGGTTTCTGTGATACTATTCCAACCCTTGCACCGCGCCCCTGACGCATTCACCCGCTCGTTCTCTCAGCGATTGCCGGCGTCGACAGCACCATCACCGCCACCACATCTGCCGACAATACCGCCAACATCGCGGGAGAACACAACCGTCGCAAATGCCTCCGCGGGGCCACGAAGAGTGCTGCAAGGTGTACGACGGCATGCTGGGGCCTTGAAAACGGGCGTTGTCAAGGTGATGCGAGGCGTGACGTAGGTCAGGACATTTTGCTATTGTGTTGCTTACATCGATCGGCCTGATGTGGTACAGTAGCGTGGGTGGTGGCGGTGGCGGGAGCGTGATGAAAAAAACATCGAAAGTCACCACCTGTTTCGTGTGTTTTGGCCCGTCGTGCTTCCAGTAAAGCGTGCTTTCTATTTTACTGTTTTTGACTGATGAGCACAGTCGTATGACCTTTTAAAGTGCAGTTGCAAGCGCGCAATGAGAAAATGTGGCACGTTTACATGAACTATTGAATTGAAGCCCGCTGAAGGCCTTGGACGATAGAAAAAGAGGCATGTGTCCCCCAACGACAGATCGATCCGAGGGTCTATGGAAGCACGCGCATGTGCTTGGCTCCTATTTTGCCAAGTGTCATTAACCAGCTCTGTGACAGTAGTGTATCCATTACATCATCCATGCTGAAGCTCGTCTCCTTCAGACAGCTTCATCCTGTCATCAGCAGGCCTTGTCGTCGCGTACATGGTATGCCTACCTCCCCGCCCGTACATCTTCCATCGGGATCCCTCTGTCCGAAGAGGGCCCTTTTCGTCATCCCCAAGCGTGCAGACCAAGCCTACATGTGTCCCACAACTGGCATGAACTTCTAGCAGCAAATCCCACCTTCCTGCTGGCGCGCCTGGCCGGTAATCATCGTTCTCGCACCGCTGTCGGACCAAAGGCGACAAAAGAAGTTGTTAGAGAGACGAGAGCCGCAGCGGCGGCGGCGGGAGCGTGCGTGGCAAGGGCCGGGGTGGCGGTACGCGGAGGCCTTATGAATACCTTTCTGCCGGCGGGGTACCCGGGATCGGTGCGGCCGGAGTACGTGAGGTACCGCTGCTGGGACATCCTTCAGGTGCGATGTGCATGTGTGGGAGGTACCACGTCCCAAGCCTTCGCTTCGCCGGGGTGGGGGCGGCGGGCGGGGAGTGGCTGCCCACAGGTCTTTTGCGTTGTACCTGGTGCTCGTTTCGCTGCCCTTGTCGCTATTGTAGTTCCTCCCCTAGGCCGTGCTTGCACTCCAGCAAAGGCAAGTGCTGAGAAACAAGATCGGAAAAGGTTTAGTTACTTCTCGGCAAGCAATAATTGTTGGAAGGTCGACGAAGCACATCGCTATAATGCATACCATGTGAGGCGTTGGCGGCAAGCCCCGTTTTCGCGCCCAGTTTAGTCTCGCAGGTTCTCATATGTCATACTTCACGTTTGTCGTACTACACGTGGGTGCCTTGGTGTATCATACGTCGTATTTTCAAGGTGTTTGAACTGTGCGAGCTGTGCATGGGGCATGATTCCTGTCACACACCGCTGATTTGTTTTTGTTACACAGAGATGACACAAGACAAGAGCACAGCCAAGCTCTGAAACACGTATGGCAGCGAAGGACGTGAACACAATTGTCGAGTTGGACTCAGATTTGTCTTCATCGCCGCCTCCCTCCTCGGCGACAAACCTTGATGTTCCTCAGGACCTGTCCTCACACCTTCGGGGCGTTCTAGCAACGCAGGCGGTGTTGGAGGGCATGGGTGTAGGTCGGGCAGGCTCGACGCCTCTAGCCGCCACGCTGCAGTGGATGGCACGAGACGGTGAGGTTCGGCTTTGACGCTGTTTCTTGCCGTGTTGGATCTCGTCTTTTCCCTGATAAGGAGCAACGTCTACCCTTCTGCACTGGCGATTCCTTTGTCTTGGTCGCGCCCGGCACGTGTGATATCGGTGCATGCAGCAGCAGCATGAGAGGTAGCAGCGATAGCGTTAATACATAGGAGGAGTAGCAGCAGTCAGAATCCGTACAATATGCATTTCAGTAGGATAGTCAATAGTGAGTAGAAGAAACAGCAGCACATAATGGAAAGGGGTTCTCATTCATCTTGGCGTGACAACCGCAACCACTGCCGTCCTCGGTGCTTGCGCATTACCTGCTGCTACTGCTACTGTCGTTGCTTCCGATATATAGATCAAACCTCTACTCAGTCTGCCGTAGTAAACCCTCCGGCTGTGGCCTCTGCTACTGCCGCTTTCGGCGCACGATTGATGTTCAGGTGCCAGCATGATCGGGGGTCTCCTATTCACCTCGGTGGCGTCAGCTAACTTCGGCGTCAACATCAAGGTGACAAACCACACAGAAGTGAAACATATGCTTTTTATAGGGTGGTTGACCTGTGACCACGTAAGGCGTCGGCGTCGTTTGGACCGACACAGACCTTTCGAAGTTACTGAGCAGAAACCGGAACGGATTATAATATAAAGGCAACATCAATATTTATCAAGGTATGTAGCTTTGGTGTTTGCGGAAGAACACTCACGCTGCAACTTCGTAATACTGCTGTGCTTGCGGAGAATCAGCACGCCGCACAGCTCGAGAATCATCCCGTACAGTGTTCCGTACCGCTGAGCTTCAAACCGATGTGCTGCTGCACGAGAATGCAGATAGGCGTTCTTTCGCCGCAAGCACCGTACACCACCGTTGTTGATCTCACTGGTCAATACTCACCCGCCCCTCCGCCCTGGATCTTCCGGCACAAACCACGTGTACTTACCATACGATGATAGACCTGGCGATTATTCGCGGACACCTCAAACGACATCGGGCTCGCCCTCGAGATGCTGGCGCCTCTGCCCGCTTTCCGAGAGGGCGGAAGATTCTTGCGTCTCATCTGCATCGCTTCGGTGTTCAAGGCGGCGTGCGGGGTTGCGGGGGGCGCGACTGGAGCCGCTATTACCGAGCACTGGGCGATCGACAACAACATCGCGGACATTGGCGCTAAGGTACGCGTTATCAGACTTTCTTCGTTACGCCTGTACACGCTGCCGACAACTTTCACCCGACCCTAAAAAGTCGGTGGTGAGAGAGAATACCGGAGAACGGGCAGTGGGCTCCGTGACATCAATAACAGGGATGGGCAGTGGGGTTGAAAACGGTGTAACTGTCTTGCCTAGGTCACGTGGCCAAACGTTGTCCCTTGCCTTTCGAGGAAGAGATCGACCGCACCTCTGCCGACAAAGCCGCGAAGGCACGAGAGACAGGGAGCTCGGCAGCGTTAGGGGCTAGGGGGCGTAACAATCGTGTCTTGCTTGCGTACCGACAGCAGATTATCGTGGTGTTTTCCTGCAGCAGCTTCCTGTTCTCATCTCCGTACCACTGATGCGCAAGTCGGCGGAACGTTGAATCAGCGTTGTTTTTTTGTCTTTCAGCAACCTTCTCATCCTCACCACGCGAAACGTTACCTTAAGGCACCAACTAAATACGCTTCTGTCGCTCAAGGTTTAAGGCACTGGCCGGACGGCGATTCGTTTGTTTTACTTGACTAGAAGATAACAGCGGGTGCTGGACAGAGGGCGGCACACATTTTCGCGTGAAGCAAACAGCAGCAACAAGCAACAGCGACAGCAGAAACAACGCCAGCAACCGAAACCCTTCTGTCCGCACCCCCCCTCCCCACGCTCAGAACGGGGCACAGCACAAGGTAGCCTCCTTGCTCGGGCTTGGGCTCTCGGTCTGGTTCGCCAGGGCCGTTAGCGTCGGGGGCTCCGCGTCTGGATCGCGCGTCTGGGGGTGGTACGCGGTCCTCACCCTGGTCCACCTGCTGGCGAACTACGCGGCAATGAGGACCCTAGCCCTGCGGTCTCTAAATCCGACGCGGGCTTCGCTCTTGGTCACGGAGTACATAGGCCAGGTGCGAGAGGGCGCCGCGTTTGAAGGGGAAGGAGTGTGGGTTTGGGGACGGGGGGCAGGGGATGGTGCAGGGGATGATATGGAGTGGTGGGGTAGATACCAATGGCGCTTGGTTGTTCTGGTTGCAAGGGAATCGCTTCTTGTTGGTTCCCTTGACCAATTGCCCGGCGGGCTTCATGGGTGGTGGTGTTTGGACGATGCGCCTATGACGTGCACACGTTATGCGCCCAGCAATCCAACTGCGCTGGTGTCACCACCGTGCTCTGTTATCGCTTTACGACTTCATCACTGCTTGCAACCTGTGCGAGAATTGGCGTTGGGGTGGGTGGGGAGGTCTTCGCAATTGCGGTCCCAATGTCCCCTTAAACAACTAAATATTGCCCGCGTTGCCTTCAGGTCCGCAGGACTGTTAGGTCTCGACCAACCCGCGTGAGGCATGTCGAATTGCTGCTGCCGTTGTCCCCTATTTTGCTTGTCTGAACACTTCGCGTCTCGTGCTTCTTCTGCGCTTACCGGGGCCCTTATCGGGGGAATGTGGCGTCGTCGTCGACGGCGTCTTGGGCGCGAAGGCCTTGGGGTCTACGGAAGGCCGCAGTGGCACACGAGGAAGCGAGCAAGACGAAGATGAAGGGGAAGAAGAAAAGGAACAGCGAGAGGAGGAAGAGGAGGGGGGAGAGGAGAGAAAGGGTCCGGCGTTAGACTGGATGGGGAGAAGGAGAGACCAAGGGTCTCCGACGGAGTCGGTGGCGGTGCTTTCGCCCTTTGCCGCCGCGAGGCGGGAGAGAATACTCGTGCTCCCCGGGTGGGTCCGGGCCTTGAAGCCGTGGGGAGACTTCCTGCAGGTAACGAGACTGCTGCGATATGAAAATCCAAAGTGATTGTCAATAATTGGTATGTAGCACTTTTAGATAGTGAAATGAAAATGAAACGATTTTCGTTCTGTTTGGACTTCGTCGAGACCGTACTGAGACCATGATTTCTCGGTTGTACAGTAGGCATTCGTAGACATCTCGGCTGTTCGTGTTTTCTTGTGTCTGTCAGAATTTCGGGCGCGGCATGTTGCGGAGGGGTCAGGACGAGAGCAATGGTGAAGTTACGCTGTTGACGCGCATGCATGACAATGTCTTCGGGAGGACATCCCATGTTTGCGAGGAGAACCCCGCCCCCCTGATCGGAACGTGGGTGTGGTTCACCCCACCGTGGCCGTATTGCTTCGTACTGCAGGGGACGAAGAGTACGTTGTCGTATGATAGGTATAGATCGCCGCTCACACAGTTCGGGTTATGCCGCCGCAGATGGGAAAGTGAGTGGCTTCAACAAGGATTTCATGCGTGCCATCATATTTGGAAAGACCCATGCGAATGCGTGCTGAGTGTGAGCTTGGTTGGGTCTACGCCGGCGCTCGGAAAGTTCTAGGGCGCAAGTTCTCTTGCTTATTTTGAAACAGTCTTATCACCGGCTGTGTGTTCGTAATCGAACCTTTACAAACTGTGTTTGAGTCGTGAGACCTCATTCGCTTGAAGAGCTCCGTAAACACTCTTGCACGACGTGCCCGCAAGCTTGACATTATGTCGTTGTGTGCTCGCGTGGTTGTCAGATACACGTGGGGGTACCGGTCAGAGCCCTGGTGGGAGAGGCCGACGACTTGCTCTGGCTGACGTCACTGTACCACGATGAGAGGTCCATGGTGGGGGTCCAAGTGTCCTACAAGCCACTAGGAGCGAGGTGAGTGTCAAACGGAGCGTCAGCGAGGCGTGACGTCTTGTGAGCCGTTGAACATTCATTTTTTTAACGGTTGTTGTTGTTGTTGTTGTTGTTGTTGTTGTTGTTGTTGTTGTTGTTGTTGTTGTTGTTGTTGTTGTTGTTGTTTTGTGAGCGACGTTTGCATACATTATCCAAGGAGCGAGGTGAGCCTTAATGTTGCGTTCATATTAAGTGAAACTCTCCCTCCTGAACCCGACGACAGAAGAAACGTGCACGTGTAGGTGTCTTTCAAGTCGCCAGAGGAAGCGCGGTGGTCGCACAGGCAGTAGTCCCATGGACAGCCCTGATGAAATCAAGTAGGACACGAGTGACTTATGCAGGTCAGGCGGCAAAGTAGAGGTCGTGTCGAACCTCTGAGCGCACGTCTTTGCTCCTAACCATGAACGCAAAGCCACCCTGCCAGCAGCGCATCCGATATGCTTTAGTGTGGGGTCTTCGAGCTTTAAACGTTGACTGCTCAAATATTTCAACTACCTGCGGAGTGAATTGAACGTCAAGAGGCTCGTAAGACAAGGCGTCTACGTGCATCGGCCCTCACAATACACGTTTTTTCTTCGGCGCCGTTTCCTTGGCGAACACAATCAGGATGGAGACGACGGTTAATCTTGTCTTTCGAGAAGACGCCTCCCCAGAGGACCGGTTGCAAGCTATGTTCCAGGTTCGTCGTTAGTGTCGTTGCTGCTGTTCCTGCTGTCTCTTTGATATTTTATAGCCTACCACGGTACTTTTTTTTGTTTTTGCGCTTGCACGAAGATGCTGAAATGCATCCAAACGGCCACGCGCAAACCATTTGTTGTTGTTGTCACCGCTCCACGTTCTTGTCTGTGTTCTGTGCGAAGTATCCAGAGAGCTCACCTCTTGCGTGGCCAACAGCGGACGTCCTTCACGCTGACCATGTACCTACCTCGCCCGGGCGAACGTGTCGGTTGTCACTCGATCTCCTTTCTCGACCTTTGTTTCTTTCGTAGTTGAACGTTTCACGCCCTGACGATACTGGTGGGACCGATTCGACATCCACGCACAGCGCGTGGCATGTGCTATCGTTAGATGTTTTTTTTTCGGATCGAAGCGGCCCAGCTACGTTTTTCACCGTACCTGAAATGACTACCAACCAATTATTCACCTCGTTCATTTGCGGCTGTATGCCTTACCGGTAGTAACCAAGTGAGCACCTCTTGTATGCGTTGCTGTACATTGTCTTACGGCCAACAACAAAATGATGCACCTCTTGTATTCATTGCCGTACTGTGTGTTACAGCTATCAACAAATGGTGCACATGTTGATACGCTGCAATGCTTTGTGTACCGCTATCAACAATTGATGCACCTCATCATCTCTATGTTGCTATGCTGTGTCTTACCGATAGCAGCGAACTGATGAACCTCTTGTATACGTTGCTATGCTTTGTCCTACGGCTAGCAACCGATGGCGCACCTCTTGAATAGGTTGCCGTGACGGTGTATCTGCACCTCCTTCTGCTACATTGGACTCTACAACGTTGTTTCGACAATACTACAACATTGCTGTCACATGATGGTATGTATTCAACATTGTGGGCAATGTCAGGCGAACGTGATCCACCACCTGGTGGTGAGAGACCCGGACGGCATTCCGCACGGGGAGGACGGCGTCGACCGCACCCTGTTTCTGCGCGAGGTTACTGAAGAGGCACTACGCGTGACAAGGTGCGGGTGCAGACACCGTGGATACAGCGGTAGGGGTGACAATGGACACGTTGGGTGGGGGTGTAAACTGGTGGATGCTGCGGCAGGCATGACAAGGTGCTCGTGTGGACACGTGGATGCAGTAGGCGTTGGGCATAGTCGTTTCCATTCGAATTAAAATGAACCCACCAGGGTGCAGCATTTCCGCCCGTCCTGATAGTTTTGCCGGTTGACACTTCGTAGCCTTGTGACGGCCATGGTCCGAGTTCGATTCTCGGCGGAGTGAAACGTGTTCAGCAGAAGGGGACAGGCTGTACCGGCGGCTTACACAGTAGATCCACAGCGCTAACGGCCCCTGATTTATTTTCTCTCGGTCCCTGGTTTGTTTTTCTCTCGGTTCCTGGTTTGATTTTCTCTCGGCACAACCGGCTAGGCCTGAAATGCTGCGTGATGAGCTAGCCGAGCTGCTTGACGGAGCTTGCCGCCGCGGGGAAGTGGACCTTGTGCCACCCCGCCACAGTCCATACGATAGTCGTGTCTGCTGCGGCTGGGGTGTTGGTGTTGGTGATGGTGATGGTGGTGGTGGGAGTGGCTGTGGCTGCTGTGGCTCGCGCCGTTTCCCATGTCACCTCGCCGCTCTGAAACGCAGTCTCACAACTGCTCGCCGCCAGCTTGTTGACTGGCGATCTCAAGGCACTCACGTAAACGTAGCCAAGAAGGGATGGATGGTTTGGGGCATTTGAGGCGGGCATCTGCTTGACCGTCCTGGAATCACGCAAAATTTCCTTCTGTTCCTATCGCTATCTGCACCTCCCCCCTTCTGCCCGCGTTGCTTTCGGTCGTGCGCTCTCTTTCGTCTATTTTTTCTGACACACGACATAAACGAACAATTCAACCTCCCCCCGATGCGCGCGACGTGCAGAAAGGAGTTCCGAGCCTTCCACAAGGCGCTGGTTCGGGAGGGGTGGGACCTGTCTCGCGTGACCTTAGGAGGGGGGCCATGGGTGGGGCGGTGGGGATCGCTGGCGAAGGAAAATTGATAGGCCAGCCCCGGCCAAGATCGGGGTGAATGTCGAGGTGTATCTTGTTTGATTGTCCGCCCGGAAAGAGGGGCGAAGTTTCTTGACGGCGGAAGGGGGAAAGGGGTCTCTCCGGAGGAGAATTGACCCGATGGAGATGAGGAGAGAAACCACCGGCAACGCGTTTCTATGAGAAGACTTTTGTATGTATTCGAGGGGAGGTTTTGTAGCAAGCAGAATTTTGCGGGATCCGGGATGAACAACGTTGTATCTAGGTGATGCCGTTTATTATGGGTTTGGGTTTTAGGGGGGGCGTGAAGGGGTTCGATGTGACCGCCGCTTTGGCATTGCCAAAGATCATTGTCTTAGCAGCAAGCAATAACGAAGGACCGAACGATGGGCGCAGGAATGATGTCGTTTTTTCCCCCCAGATGCTGTATACCGGCGAATGGGATAGGGCGATTTTTTCCTCGGTTGGTGTCTCTATTCACGCGGGGCATTCGGACCCGTCATCGCTGGCTGGATTCACGGTTGATCCCTGTCACTGTTTCATGTTCGGGATTTGGGTATGTACGTAGGGCTGCGGTAATCGTGTGAAGAGCGGGGCGATCGTGGGGGCAGATGGTAATAAATTCTTGGAGGAAACTCAGGGTTGTACGAAGTCCCTTTGTTGTGTTGAACCCGCACAACAAACGAAAACAACGGAACAGTAAATTTACCGTCGGATCGTGCGAACACATGCCACAACAGCCTGCTCGAGAAGTCTATACACTACACGTTAAATTTTTGTCCCACCGCCGACGTCGCGGGCCAACCAGCGACCTGACCAACAATCTGGTTACTCCGTGACGTGGACATATTTGTCGTTTTCTGTACCAAGGTATGCCACCGGGGACAAACGAGCTAGTTACCGGGGTATCCTAAACACATGTTTGACCCATGGCGCTGGTAGTGGGGGGGGTCCTTGTGGCGAAGAAACCGCTATAAATCGAGCTACGAGGAAACATACACACACACTCCCCATTTACCCCAGGCGCTGGTAGGGGAGAGGGGCTGTACAAGATGGATTTGGTGATCCCCCCAGGACTACACGCAGGAGATAAAGAAGAGAAACCCTGAACCAAGTCCATTTTGTAGGTGTCACAATCGTCAGCCCATCTGCGAGTCGAAGCATCGACAAGTCGATCCAGAGACCAGGATCCGCCCTCGAAGATCGAGCTGTAAGTGCGGCAAATCACTCTGCGGGAACTTTCAACAGGTTGAGACCTTCCCTCCTTTCTTCAACCTACGGTGGTCTTGGCAAAGGCACCAATTGACTAATCGTAGCGATCGCCAACCATTGGCGACGAAACAGCCTTGCTTCGTGCGAAGGAACCCAATATCAACAGGATTCGAGGACGGCTTTACCTTCAAGCTGACTCGTTTTCTGTCGAAAGGCATAGATTAGTCTATGAACTCGTGATGTTATCAACGTCATGGACTCCTGATGCCTGCCGCAGTCGCCGCCACCGACCCGTAGGTGGGTTATCGCGTGGGCACCGCGGCAGGCATCACTGCCGCCGCCGCTTGGAGCGAGGGCGAGGTGGGGGGCATCACTGTCGTCACCCCCGTCACCGCCGCCGCCGTCGCCGACCCCACGGCCGACCTCGACGCAGACGTGCCGGCCGCTACGGCCCCGCACCTATCCTGCGCACGCCCGGCGAGGACTATATCGACGGGCGGATCGTTGGGCCAACCGTGGTGGCCGGGCTGGGGGTGGCCGAGATCCCACCAAACGCCGGCTTCCTCACGTGCTGTAGGTGACGGACTGGCGGCGGAGCATTTGGAGGCTTGGTGCTTGACGGAGCCGGCATGATGATGACACCGACGATCTGGGGTTACGAAACGAGCCGATCGGGACCTTGTTTCGGTGATGATGAGCGTTTATTGCTGGCGAGCTGGCATGAGCGTGATGAGGGGTCGCATGTCGTATGACCGCAACTATCGCTGTGCTTTCTCCGCACAGACGCGCTCTCGATAGATTTGATCGCATCCTCTTAGGTACTGATAGCAGCAACTTATCTGGGTCGCGGGGAGGCAGGGGAACGAATGATATGACATCATGTTTACCAATTGCATGGTGAACATCACGCTGCAGCAGACTTCACATATCGTCTGGTCCCCGCGTGAAGGACACGGGAGGACTACTACACTGCTGTTCGTTTGCAGGCGAAGCAGACAGATGACGCAATCTCCGGAAATACAGAGACGCTCCCCTCGTCCCTTCAACCTTCCCTTGCTAACATGATTGCCTCAATTCGTCGCCACTGACCGATGCTGTTTCGTTAGCTCTTCACCTCGTACGGACAGGGTCGGTGGTCAGAAGAAGAGACGGGGCGCCGGTGGTGCGGGGATTCCTGCCAGCACGGTACTTATGACGGTAAGAGTCGATACAACGACAGCACATATGCATAGTCTGGTTTCCTCTCCTTAGCACGTTTTTGATCAATGCTGTGGAATGGTGATCGACCCTTCCTAACTCCAGAAAGCTGGCCACTCAGAGGAGCCCTTCCTACAGGCTGAGAAGTCTCCGTGAGACATGCCACCCTCCGCCTACAGCTGCACGTTTTGATACAAGAACTGAGTCAATATATCAGGTTCTTTCCGGAGATGGCGTTATCTGTCTGCTTCGCCTACAAACCAATAGCAGTGTAGTAGTCCTTTCTCATGATCTTCGGGCGGGAACCAGACGATGTGTGACGTCTGCTGCAACGTGATGTTCCCCACAATTTCTGTGAACATGATGCCGTATCACTCGGTTTCCATGCCCCTTTGCGACCCATTGATATAGCTGCTGTTGTCAGTACCTGAAACGATGCCATCGAATCTGAAACAGAGCGCTCCTGCGCGGAGAAAGAAAAGTTACAGCTGCTGCAATAATACGTGGCACCCCTCTCTACTCCCGAAAGCCCTCCCCAGCAGTAAAAGCTACATGATCTACTATCATCATCACCGAAACAAGGTCCCGATCGGTCAATATCCCAATCGCAGGTCGTTGTTGTCATCAACATGCCGGCCGTGGCAAGCGTCAAGCCTCCGAATACTGAAGCAGTAGGAGCCCAAGGCACGGTCCGGTCGTGGGCTAGACCACTCGGTTACTTACGTCATGAAGTCCGGACTCGATTACGCACGATAGCTCACCTCTACTGATGGGTCCGATGCAGGTTGATCCGGGCGGGGGAAGCAAGCACTCCGTCAGGCAATGCACTCCGTGAGCAAGCACAACCCAAACTCCACTCCGTTAGCACAGTCAGTCACAGTATCAGCACAGGTCACAATGGCAATGGCAATAGGCAATTTCTTTGCTTGATTGGTCGTATCACTGAGACACGAGGCTGGAAAGGTACTCGGGGGATCCGCAGATGGAATCCACCAAGACCGACGCCCGTAGATAGATCCGGGCGGCATATTGACCTACCGAGCCCCCGGATATACCATCTACGCCCTCCGTGGTTGAGAGGTCATTCTCGCGCACATCATCGTACTGGTTGCCTTCGGGGTTGAGTAAACCCTTCAGGCGCCTGTGGAGTGACGACCGGTCTGCCGCCGTTACACCCCCCCAGCATCGCCGTGTTTATAAACACGGGGAGGCTATAGAGGCGGCCGGTAGGCACCGTCCACGGGTCGAGTTCCTCCCTAGATTAGACCACAGGATGATTTAACCTAGCGAGGGACTCTCCCATCTCGAGCTGACGTAGATCTTGGCGAGGGACCATCTCCCTAGGTTAGACCGCGGAGGGATTTAAACCTAGTGAAGAGGGCTCCCGGTGGCTGGAGACGGTGTGGAAGGTGGCGATCTTGAATCTCTTGTTCCACCCTCCGATGAATCGGCGCTCGATGATGATGACGTGCGGGGGAGGTCCTCGGGAGGTGATGTCGGTCTTCTCCTCGTGGTCCCCGGCGCTCTCCACCTTCGATACACTCCCCCAGGCTGCCAACCGTTCCCGGGGAAGGCTTACGGGGGTTGCGCTCATGCAGAAGATGATGGTTGGGCAGCCACTCCGATGCCCTGTTCCACCTCACACTTGGTGAGCGCTTCCCAGTCTCCATCTGGGTATTCCACCCTCCAGTACGGGTCGCAGTAGTCGTAGACCTTGGCCTTGAACGTCTTGGACCGTCCTTCGGCGTCCATGAAGACTCTGCCGACCTCGGTACCTCGGGGGAACATCTCCAAGGCTCGGTCCCGAGACTCCACTTCGCGCTCTCCTCGTGTGGGCTCTCCTGTAGGTCGCGTCGCGTCGCTCGGGTGGTGGAGTTCCCACAACGCGTGGAAGACGTCCAGCTGCAGCGGCGAGAAGCTGTCGCGCGCCTCGTCCTCCGTGATCCAATCTGATTGAGCTCCGTCCTGGTATCTGCCGCGGTATTCCCAGGCCCATGCGTCGGCGCCACCCTTGCCGGGCCCGACCCTGCGGGCCATTAGGGTGTAGGGCGGCACTGCGGCGACGGAGGTGCCCGCCAGGCCCAAGTCCGCAGACCAGATGAGGTGGCTGAACTCGTCCTCGTACTCGAGTTGCAGATGTGCGGGGCGCTGGTGGAAGGGCTTGACGTCAGCCGCCACCACGCGGCGTTGACGGACACGCCTCCCGTTCATCTGCACCGTGAAGCACAGCCGCTCCGGTAGGACGTTGACGACTTTCCACGGGCCCGTGAAGTGTTCGTGGGCCAGTTTGGGGTGGAGGCTGTCTCGGTAGAGGGAAACTGGGGTCTCTCGGACCAGCACGAAGTCTCCCACCTGAGCCTTGGCTCCCGGTGACTCGCGGCCGATCTTGGCGTTGTGGCGCTCGCTTTGCTTGGTGAGGGCTTCCTGTCGCTTGGCCAGGATTTCCTGAGTCATGTGGTGTTGCTCCTCGACCGTTATCTCCAAGCCTTGGCCGAACGATGCGCCGTCCAAAGGCTGGGCGAGGAGGTCGATGTGGCTGCGTGGCGGCAGGCCAAAGAGTATTTGGTACGGCGACGCTCCTCCCGGTAGTGATAGGTCTGGCGTCACCCAGTGGATCCAGGTAGCCACAGGGACGTAGTCGTCCCATCTCTGGGGCCACGCTTTGCAGAGTAGGGAGAGGGCTTCCTGTAGCCACCCCCCCATCCGTTCGACCGCCCCTTGCGCGCGAGGGTGGTTCACGGTCCGTGGTCCAGGGAGACCTTCAGCCAGTTGCACAGGTGTTTCATCACTCGTGCGATGTTCTCGCTGCCCATGTCTGCGCGGACGGAGAATGGCATGCCGAAGATGAGTAGGAGCTCCAGGAGTTTGCTGCTCACGCCCAAGGCGTCCTTGGAGGGGAGAGGGAAGGCGGTCAGAAACTTGGAGGCTCTGTCCACCACAACCAGCAGGTACCGGTTTCCCTTCTCGGACGTCACCTTCATGTCCTGGATGTCCATATGCAGAACTTCCATGGTTGAAGAAGGCGGGCGGGCATCATGGAGAGTTGCGTACTCCAGGCACGTTTCCTCCGGCGGCCCGGGCAGGACAACACGAAAGCGCGGACGTCCCCTTTGAGAGTGGGCCAGTGGAACTTCCTTTCAATCAGTAGGGTCGTCCGTGCTGTTCCTGGGTGCCCGTACGTGCCGTGGACAAGTGCCAGCACTCCCGGCACCAGTTGGCGGGGCACCGCGATCGCGTATCACTGCCCTCGCGGCGCGTGCCAGAGGAGGTGGTTGTCCGCCATGACATAGTCGGTACCGTCTCCTTGGCCTGCCTCGAGCGTAGCTCTGATAGGCCCGAGGATCGGGTCTCTGCGTTGCGTCTCAGCTAGCTGCGTTGGGTCCCGTAAGATGTTTTCCATGCGCTCTAGGTTCGCGGAGAGTCCTCGCCGTAGTTCGGGGGTGTCTAGTAAGTCATCGCCGCGGCCATGGCTCTCCGGAGTCGCTGGCCGCTCCTCCGTGTGCGCAGGAGGAGGGGAAGGTGGCGGGGGTGTAGGTGATCCCCCCGTGTCTAACTCCATAGGTGACGGCGGTGGTGCTGGGGCCGGGACCGGGGACTTGGGGTCGTCTTCCTCCGGGGGCTCTGGCCCAGCTGGTGACGTGGGGGTCCTAGCAGGTCCCTTGCCCTTCCGGCTCCCCTGTTGTCGCCTTCCTTGCGTTCCTGCAGGTCCCGGCTCCCTCCACGGTGGGGGCGCGGGCGGTCGTGGTGGTGGCTGACCGCGACGCGTCGTACGTCGTGTGACGGCCGGGGTAACGGCGAACCTCGGTTCTTGCAGGGCAGTATCCGCTGCAGCCTCGGTGGTGTCCGCAAAGACGTCGTGGGGGCTGAAGAGGAGGTCGTCCGCCAAGCTGTTGCGCGGGTCCATGGTCGTGGGGGCGATACCGTAGACCTCTAAGGTTGAGGACGCCTCTCGCAGCATTGGCGGTAGGGTGAACTCTTCGAGCGCCCAAGCTGCGTCGGTTCGCCTGACCGTGGGTGGAATCTGGAAGTCACCTTGTGCTGTGGTGAGCTTGACGAAGTCGCTCCACTGCAAGTCTTCGGGTGTGTTCAGAGGTCCCGCATCCTCCGGGTGCGCCTTGTACTCCGTCAGTGGCGGTCGGCGCCCTATGATGTGCGAATGGGTGAGAGTTAGCGACGGCGCGTGAACGTCGAAGATCGCTTTCTCTCCTCGTTGCCTCCGTAGGAAATAGTGTCCACCCCGTTCCAGAAAGGCGCCGACGGTCGGGGTAACCGGCGCGGGCTGCTGCAGGCGTTGCTTCCACTTGGCCAGCTTCGCCGAGAGCCCTGCGCTCGTGTCTCCTGGTTGCCGCTTGTATGCGACGATGAAGACCCTCTGCTTGCGTGTGGGCACACCGACGTCTGTGGCCGACATTGTGGCCTCCTCCACAGAGCACTGACCTAGCTCCAGCCTTGGTCGTAGGATCTCCCGCCACTCCGCGGTTCCAGCAAACCTCACCGGGCACTCCAGTATGAGGAGTGTTGCCCGGCAAGACACGAAGACGTCGACGGTGTCCGACGCTTGGCGGACCGCGGTGTTGCCGGTGCGGTCGGGGTCGTACCGTCGGCACGCGTCGCCGATGAAAATCTCCGGCTTGGCGTCGGCGACCACTTCCCTGCACTTGGGGCTGGCGAGTGGCGTCCGCACCAAATTGGTGTTGTAGCTCCATGCATTGGTACGTGCGCACTCCAACGCTGTCCACTCGGGGTCAATCGCCGTATCGATGGTCAGCGTTTCTCCGAGTGCCAGCAGGGCACCACCAGCTCCACACCCCAAGACGACAGTTCTCGGACGCCTGGGTGTGAAGGCTTGGCGTACTTCCTCGTAGGCGGCAAGTCGCGCGTGGTCCGTCGGGTCCGGCGGCTCCAACGCGTGCTGCAGTGCCCAAGCGACGTGTAACGGTAGTTCGGGGCCGGTTGCCACCTCCGTCGCTCCCAGTGCTGCTAGTCGAACGCCGTCGAGGGCAGGCGCGCCTCCCGGTGAGTTGCCACTCTCGCCGGTGGCTCGCCTGGGTTCGGGGACGTGCTTTTCTGCGTCGTCTGGGGGTGCTAGGCTCTGTAGGGGGATGCCGTCGAGCACCGGGCCCAGTGGTTCGTGGGCGCGATCCTTGGCGGCGGGAGAGGGCATCCGGGACGGTGTGCTCGGTTCCCTTGCGCCATTGGAGAGTCATCGTAAACTCCATCATGCGGAGTGCGTACCTGTACATTGTAGAGGACAAGTGTTGGCTGGTGAACAACCAGGTGATCGCCGAGCAGTCCGTGACGAGCGTGAAGGGCCGGTGCAGGAGGTACGTCCTGAAGTGGTCCAAACCGTAGAGGGCTGCCCGGACCTCGCGGTCGGTGGGTGCCCGTCTAGACTCGGCCAGAGTTCACCGGTGGCTGCCGAAGCCGATGGTCGTATCGCGGTGCTCTACAAGCTGTGTGAGCACTGCGCCTGCGGCTCGCTCGCTGGCATCCGTGTGGAGGGTGAACGGTAGTTCCCAGCCTGGGGGTAGAAGCACCGGCGGTGACACCAAAGCGCTGATGATGGCAACGCGGGCTTCCTCCTGTTCCGGTCCCCACTGGATGGGTTTGTTCCTCGCTCGCTTGGTGCTGAAAGTTCATGTTGCGGAGGATGTCCGTGATGGGTGCGATGATTGCACTGAAGTCCTTCACGAAGTCCCTCAAGAAGTTGGCCATCCCGACGAATGATCGCAGTTCCCCCACCGTGGCGGGGCTCTCCATCTCGGTCAGTGGCTTGATCTTCGAGAGGGGGGGCCGCACACCTGATCTGCCGACCATAACGCCCGGGAACTCCACCTCTGCCCTGCAGAATAAGCTCTTGCGGAAGTGAACTGTGTAGCCCGCCTTCTGCAGGAGGTCCAGAACTTCCTCGAGAACCTTGAAGTGCTCCTCCAGCGACTCGGTGTGGATGAGGATGTCGTCGAGCCACCTTTCGACACAGCCTCCACTCTCCACCGGACGTAGTGTGTTCCCTAGGAGGGCCGAGAAGACCGCGGGGATAGTCGTGAGGCCAAAGCTGCACCGGTTGAAGTGGTACAGTCTCCCCCGAGCGTCTCGAAACGCCGTCTTGGGCCGGTCCGAGGCCTTGATGGCAATTTGGTGATACGCTTGGGGTAGGTCGAGGAGGGTGAACCACTTGCTCTTCCTCACCCTGTGGTGCATCGTTTGCAGGGTGCCGATACCCCTGCTGTTCTTCTTCGTCAGTGCGTTGAGCGGGCGGTAGCCCATGGCTAGTCGTATCGTCCCGTCCTTCTTCTTCTGGGGCGAGATGCGGGCACACCACTGAGAGTCGGAATAGTCGATGATCTTCTGCTCCAACATCTTGTCGACTTGGCTGTTGATGATGTCCGCCGGGACTGGGTCGAACCGCTGCTGCTTGCAGGCGACGGGAGTACGTTCTCGTCGATGAGGGGGATCTCCACTTCTCGTCCATGTAGTTGCGAGAGCTCCTTGGTGTTCGTTGGGAAGAGGCCCTTCTCTGCCTGCGCTGAGAGGATCTTCAGCAAGGTGGTGCGGGCGTTGTGGCTGAGTGGCCCTGTGTCGATCTCGCTCACCCTGATGCCTTCGTCCGGTTCCACAATTCCCGGCTCTGAAGTTGGGGATTCCAGCGGTGGCGGCTCCAGCTCGGCCTCCGGTGGTACGGGCTCCTTGATGAGAAGCATCCGCTCCACGTTGTCGCAGTTGGTAGCGTATGATGTGGCAATCTGCACTCCTGCGTCGATGGACTTCGTGTGGGTGGTGCGGTTCATGAGTTTGACCTTTGGAGCTGTCCCCGGGGTCCACCACTGTACCCCCCTAGCAACTGCAATGTCCGCACCTTCCCCAGGGTCGAATAGGTGTAGGGGGATCACGACCAATAGTTGTGCCGCGAATGGCCGCGGGTCATGAGTGAGAGCGTCTATCTCTACGCTCACCCTCCCCGGCACCACCTGTTTGTGCTCCAAGAACACCGGCCATTGGAGTGTGGCGTTGTCCTCCCACGCTGTAGTTCCGAGGTCCAGCGCTGCCATCATCTCGATCTCAGCCGGGGGGGCGCCGTGGTCCTTCTCGAGTGACTCGCGCCAGTCCGCGGCGCAGAAAACGTCGCCGGTCGGTGGTCCAAGGGGTGAGTGGGCTGCCTCCTCCACGGCCGCCACAAACTCTCCCGTCTCCAGGTTGCGAGCGCGCCCCGACCGTGAGGCCATACAGGCCGCCAGCCAGCCTGGAGCCATGGACTCGCTCGCTTCGGTGGTCGCTTGCAGGTGGTTCGCGCTATCTTGCCAAGGCTGGGTGTCCCGCTGCTGTGGTTCGGCCGGTAAGAGAGGCACGCGGGGTGAGTCTCCTGAAGGTTTGAAGGAGCCTGAGCCTTGAAGTCGATGAGGCTATCGTTGCGGCGCAGGTATGCCGCTCCCAGGATCAGGCCAAACGGCAGGTCCCTCACCACTCGCACCCGTGCAGGGTAGACGCGGTCGATCGGCGGGAAGATCAGGGGTAGGATAGCCGTCCCGGTGATTGACATCGGTGGCACTCCGTCCTTGGTAGGGTTGGCAGCGTGCAGGAACCCTCGTCCGCGTTTGGAGACGATGTTCCGGCCGCCGAACACATGGCGTTGCACGGCCCGAATGAACTTGACGGAAGCGTAGTTTCCTCCTCCCGCTCCCGTGTCGACCAGGACAGTGGTGGTGAAGCCGCGTTTGCGCTTGAAGCGGTTCCACAGGTGTGCCTTGACAAACGATTGATGGGTACCTTTGGGTGGTCCCGAAAGAGCAGCGGTGGGAGCGGCAGACGCAGGGCCACGACGTGTGGTTGCGGACACCAGCTCCCGCCCACGATGCTCGCGTGTACGGTTCCCCAGGGGTTGACCGGTAGAATGATCTCCCCCCAGGGCGCACCATCAGGCGTCACAGTCCTGCTGGTCCGACGTAGTGTTGTCGCCCAGCGTTGTCTCGTCGGTCAGGATTCCAGTTGTTCCGGTGTAGGTGTAGTCGAATGTGGTCGAACGGCCGCGGAAGTAGGAGCACGGCTTGGCATGGGAGCAAGGGTGATGGTTGATGATCTCAGACGGTGTCGATGTCGAGTTGTGCATCCAGAGGCAGTCCAATCGCGGCCCCCATACGTAGTTCATATACGTCACGAAGTCCAATATCAAACGGTACACAATCCATATACATTCAATCGATGGTAGCCGAGCGATACTACTGCGGCTCAGAGGTGGTGATCCTCCGGGGTGTCGTTGGGCGGCGGGTCCCCGTCTTCCGGTTCCCGAGGCTGCTGCGCCATGGTAGCGAGGAAGGCGGCAAACAGCATGGGATTGACCGGGTTGCCCATCCACGGGATGTATTGAGGGTTGGCGCCGGTTTCCGGCGCTGCGATGTCGTTGTCGGCGTCTTGGGGAGGATTGTCGTTCGAGGGATCGGCTTGGCCTTCTCTCATGATTTCTTCGGGAGGGTCCTCGTTTACGAGGACTGGTTCGTTGTCCTCCGGAGCGAGTTTGAGCTCGGGGATTAAATCAGTGTCGGATCCAGGGGGTTCGTTGTCGGAGTCCGCGTTTTGGAGCGGAGGTCCGTCGCGGGGTGCCATGATGATGATGTTTGCCTCTGCGAGGTGGTGGTTCGGTGGGTGATACGAGGCTGCATTTTCGTATTGTGAGTCGTTGTGATTTCGAGATGGTCATGGGTGAGAGTCGTAGGTCCGGTGTGGTAGCGGGAGTGGTTGAGGCGTTGTTTGGCTTCATGGCGTTGGCTGTTGGTGGTGTGGGGTTCACCGAAAACACAGCACACATCGTACATACGTAGGCCCTGCCCCCCCCGAAAAAAATAAAAACGGGGTGGAAGCAAACACAGAACGCGGTGCACTCGTTTGAGGTGCTTACGCGTTGACGCAAAATCCACAGCTCATCTTGATCTATATACTCACCCTTTCAACTACTTGGTTCCGTATGCTTACCTCAACGGTGCCAGGTTGTGGTGCAGATCGGGGTTGAGTGGGGGCAATGAAATGCCTGAGGCATTGCACGAGGCCCACGTGCCCGGTGGGAGCACCAGAGGTGCCCACGAAAGAGACGTGGGGGGCCTCTCGGTTTTGGAGGTCCAGGAAGGTCTTGGGGAACCAAGGTAGAGAGAATTGCCAGCCCCAAACACGAGAGCAATACACAAAACAATAAGGCGACTACGCCCCCCGCTGGTGGTCAAAACAGTGGACACCAGATCAACGGAATGCCCCATGAATACGGTTGCCGCAGCCAATCGGTGCCGTTTTGATGCGCCGTGTGGTTCGAATTTGGGGTGCCGGTAGGCGTGATGCATAGTCGGCATCGTAGTATTTAGTGGATCCCGTTCGTGTGGGGAAGGCGGAAGAGAAGAATGGTTCAGCTGTTGAAACACATGTTGTAGTCGTCGTTCAGTCAGGCCGGTGAAAAGCAAAACGCAGACAAATCCGGGAAAGTGAAACACGGGAAGAGGGGACATCTGCCTAGGTAGTAATCTAGGCCAGAGGCGTTCCTTGGGAGAGCAACGTACCCTGCAGGTCTACGTCGATGCCAGACGGTACAGAGATACCGGAAGGGCCCAGGAAGGATCCAAAGCGCTACGGTAACGCTGCGGGTCCCACTATCCCACTCTCCCCGTAGGGCCAAGTGAGCAACGGCGGCAAAAAATGTCCGGCAGGGAAAAGCTGCCATCATCATCGTGATCGTCGTCGCGGCGATGGTGGGCGCGGTGCAGGGGCACGTCGGGGACGTCGCTGTCCTCGTCCTCGTCGTCGTTCTCCTCCTCCTCGTCGTCGTAGGACATGGGGATGTTCTGGAGGTGGCCCCTGAGGTTGTCGAAGGCGAATGTGAGCTGGTCCACGAGGCGGTGGGTGGTGGCCGACTTCCTGGGGTCGCGGAGGTATTTTCCCGGACGTTGGTGTCCGACAGTCTGCCTGATAGGGCGGGGACGTTTCTGGTTATCGAAGGTGCGGTTGGAGGTAGTCGGGGCGAATGTTACGCGGGCTCGCTTGCGGCGGGCATCTCCCTGGTGGGGAGACGGGGCCGGTGGGGTAGCGGTGGTTGCCTCGCGTGCTTTCTTGCGGCGGGCTTTACGCTGGCGGGTGCGTTTGGTACCCGTGGGTTGAGATACCGGCACGGGTTGGAAGTCGCCGGCAGGGGTAGAAGCAAAGCGTTCGAGGGTTACCGTAAAGGTGAGTTCCAAGCGCTGATTGCCTCGGTTGGTGCGAGAGCGGTTGTGGTTGTTACGGGGGTTGGTGACGCGGTTGTTGTTGTTGCGGCGGGTGTTGACGGGGCTGCTGCTGCGGCTGTCACGGTTGCGGCGGCGGTCGTTGTGGTTGGTGCGGCGAGGCAAATTGCGGAAGTGATGTCCAAGCTTGTCATTAGTGGTGACGATGAACCGCACGCGCAGCAGAGGTCTAGACGTGAGCGTTAAACGTCTTGAGTGGAAGTGCAGCAGCAGTGGTAGTGGCGCAACATGAGTGCAACACGCGGGATGTACCGATGAGATGTGTAGGTGGGGGCAGTACCAAACACGAAGGAATAACAGATAAAACCACATCCGTTACATTAGGGTGCTAACGCGCAACGTATTTACGAGGGACGCGGGAAGTCAAACAACGTGCGGAAATACATCGCAGACAAACACAAGGTGCGGAATTACATCGCAGACAAACACATAATAAACCCACACACATACACAGAACTCCGCCTAATTTGCAGAGTAAAACTCCCCTCGGTCATACTCACCAATACTTACCCAAGGGACAATAAGCACGTGAAGGACGCGGGGACACGCACCGTGGGTGCGCCATAGGAGGTGCGCATAGGTACATTTCAGTGGGAGCGGCATCGGCAGCATGCATGCGTAGACAACGTAGCGCATGCGGTGCCGCAGGAATGTCGGCGAGTGCATACAGCAGTTTGCGGCATGGCGTGCGTCCCAGCAGTAGTTGTTACGTCCCCATAGTTTCGACCGAGAGATTCACACCAGGTATGCAAATCAGTTGACACAAACCAGAGATAACAAATCAAGCGGAACTCATAAGCGTGGTGGCAATACAAAAAATGTCAACGGTACATTGGAGGCTGGTAAACAGCGGTGTATAAGGGTCGACCCAAACAGGCCAAAAAAACCCTGCGAAACCTGCGATCACAGGTTTTACCTGCGAATATGGAGGCTTTTTACCTGCGATCGCAGGTCGGGAGCAGGGCCGAAAAAATCACCTCTGCTCCTTTTCTGCGATCGCAGGTACAAACCTGCGATTTCTGCGGTTCTCTTGAGAGCATCACGTTGGATCGGGCACAGCACACCAAGCCACCTGTATCACCCCCGTAGCTGCACTATAACCCCCAGAACTGATCGCCAGAGTAGGCTAGGCTCCATGGCCGACAATAGAAGGCGCCGGGAGCTTCGGGGAACCTCACAGACGGCTCATGTTACTGCTGTGTGTGGGAATGAGGATGATTCCGCCGCAGAGAGCTCATCTTCTTCGTTCTCGGACAAGTACCTGTTGTCGTTCTCCACGCCCTCTTGAACAGATCGCCCCACTGCGTTTAGACAAGCACTTCCTCTCACAGAGAGAGAGGAAGACTGGTCTATCCTAGACGCCTGCCGACGACCTTGCAGGGCTGAGCGAGCGGCGGTACTCCCGGCGACGACCTCGCGAGACATGCCTGGCGGAGGGCTGATGCCCACAGCAGGAGGCATTTGAGGCCGTCCTAACCCATAACCAGCAGCAGCAACTGCTTCCTCCCCGCTCGTCTGGAACCGTAAAGGAAGGGACCCAACCCTCCTGGGCCTTGATACCCGCGGTGTCACACTGTTTTGGTCGGCCATGGTGGATGTTTGTCTGCTGTGTACGGCCTCTGCTGTTGTGTACGGCCTCTGCGGTCGTCGGGAGCGGTTTGACCGCCAAAATCGCAGAAATCGCAGGTTTTTTTAATTTTGTGCTCTGCTTCGTTTAAAACGCCCGCATTTATTTTCTGCGATCCGGGGTCTGAAACCTGCGATCGCAGGTAAAATTCCGAGGTCGTTTAGGACAACCCTTTTAGTCTATTGAGGTTCAGTCATAAAACCAACATGGCACACAGGAGATAGCGGAGGAAAATACCGCTACCTATATCTGTAACAGTTTCTGAATTTTGCAGCAGGAAGCGGCGGATTTCATACACTCAGCGCATCTATCTCACCCTGAGACCATTCGATCAAATCGCAGG